CTACTCCTAACCACCACACTATCAGAGTTCCTTAGGATATGCATTTATATATACATGTAAATGCATATCCTACTCAATCACCAATAAAAGCCTCAAAAACAAACAAGCCAGCCCTAAAGTATTCTTAAACTACTACTCAGACAAACAGGCTACAAGGAATTAAGAAAAGATATTTATTTTACACCTCTGGATCTAGGTATCTGAGCTGCATTTTACACCTACAAGTTCAAAAAGTAAACACTGGATTTGGCATGAAAGAACAACAAAAAGCAAACATTCATATACATTTAAAAAATTACAAGCCCAGACACATCACCTTACCCTGCAACAAACAAACAAAAAACCTATTCTACTAGCCATTGCCCAGCCAGGCAATAAGGGAAGGGGAAGGGGAGATTTTTTTCATAGAATGAACCTCGATTTTCATTGTATACCTAAGTATCCATGGAAAGATCTAGGTACAAAATGAAGCAACAGAAAAATATTTATATACATTTTTAAAGTACATACTTCCACCCTCTCTGAGGTGGCGATAGAGTTTAAAAAGTAACCTATACTACTCTAAAACTATTGCCCACCCAGGCAATGAGGGGAGGGAGAAGAGGAGATTTTCATACATCCGGACCGCCACGTTTCATTCGGTACCTACATGTCCAAGCAAGGGACTGGGTACTAAATGAAATAACATACTATAGTAACAAAAACTATATCTATATTAAAAAGATTATGTCCTTCCTTTAGCCCCACCCCACCCCACCCCCCAAAAATCTACAAAAATCCTAAAGTAGTTTAAAATTATTGCCTATATACATACAAAGGAAAAGGAAGATGAGAAAATTGTTAGACATCCAGAACTCCATGGTTCATTAGGAAGCTTAAGTCCATATAAAGGACTGGGAACCCAATGAAACAATGTAAGAAAGAAGTGAAAACATGTACATACATTTATAAAAGTATATAACCTGATCTCAACCCTCCCACTCCAGCCCCCAAATATCTGAAACTAATCAACTACTCTAACTAGCCATTGCCCACGCAGGCAATACGGGAAGGGCCAAGAGGAGACTTGTCATAGACTGAACCTCGATTTTTTTTTT